TGAGAGAAGCCAATTCCAGCTAGCTTGAAAATCAGCTGTCCCCAAGCAGCTCTTTGGGTGTCCAGGGGCCATTCTGAGTTTTATCCCATTCTCTGTGCATGTCGAGATACTTGGCAAATGCCACGTCCCACAGTGAAAGGGGAAAACACTAAAGCCTAGGTGTGAAGTGGGTTACATCGTCTAGATTTGTGTGGATGCCCATGTTGGGCAGGCTTGTCTCGAACTCCTGACCTCAAGTGTCTGCCCATCTTGGCCTCCCAAAGTCCTGGGATTACAAGCGTGAGCCACTGTGCCTGGCCTAGAATTGAGATTTTTAAGGTGGTGGAGTTACTAGCAAAGGCAAGGCTGAGAGGGTGAAGTGAGGTGGAAGACAAGATCTTTGTAGGTGGTGGCCTCAGGGAACCGAGATGCCAGGGTGCTGGTGACTTGCCTGAACCTCAGGGAACCAAGATGCCAGGGTGCTGGTGACCTGCCTGAATACACACTGAAGCCACCAAGAAGGATGGCTGCAGTCATGGTGGAGAAACAGTGATTCCAGAGCCAAAATCTTCAGTGAATGAGGGGCAGGAACAGGAGAATGCAGGAGGAACACTTGCTTCAAAGGAGCTAGAGACCTTTAGGGAGGAAGGAGGGAGCAGCAATGGGGAGCAGAGGCTGCCTGGCTCGCCTCTAGCTCAGAAGTACACAGGGTTTAAAATTCAAAGCAAAACCAGCCACCACTTAGGGACAATCGTGAAAAGCAGTTCCTGAGGATGAGAGAGATACAATCTTCTTACTCTAGCAAGGGACTTGGACAGGCTACACTGCAGGATACACACACACACACACACACACACACACACACACACGCACACACTACCCCAGGCCCTCCTGGTGGCAGACCTGCAGCCGTATTTTCACTCATAAAGTCAACATGGTGCTGGGAAGCAGGGAAAGGATCCCAGAAATCAGAAGACCCCCACGGCCTCACTGCCGCCCCTCAACACCACCACAGCACAGCCAGGGTTGCTCGCTGCAGTTGCAGGTGGGAAGAACGAGGCTCAAGGAATCAACTGGCTCAATGGTAAGTGGCCAAGCCAGGAGCGATCCCTACGACTTCCGACATTTCCCAACACTGTACTCATTGTACCGGCTGGTATTTCTCAAGTTTCCCAAAGATTAGAGATAACTGGAGAAGCTTTGAAAACACAGATTCCCTGGACCACATCTCTGGAAATATGGATTCAGTAGGTCTGGCACGTGGCCCAGGAATCAGCATTTTAACAGCCAGCCCAGGGGATTTTTTTTTTTTAGAAACAGAATCTTGCTCTGTCGCTCAGGCTGGAGTACAGCGGTGTGATCTCGGCTCACTGCAACCTCCACCTCCTGAGTTCAAGCGGTCTTCATGCTTCAGCCTCCCAGGCAGATGGGACTACAGGCGTCCACCACCATACCTGACTAATTTTTTGTATTTTTAAGAGAGATGTGGTTAACCCATGTTGGTCAGGCTGGCCTCAAACTCCTGGCTCCAGGTGATTTGCCCACTTCAGCCTCCCAAAGTCCTGCGATTACAGGCGTGGCGACGTTGCCCAGTCCGTCCAAGGCAGTTTTTACTATGCCAGAAGCTCACAAATGCTGCAGATTCCCACCCTGTCTTCTCCATTTATTTCGTGCAGTTGAGAAAATTCCCTCAATTTCCCAGACTGTGGACCGGGCACCAACACGATGACCATTTTCCTGCACTAACTGCCTAGTACCTCTCAAGTGCAGCATTTTAATTAAAGAGCGAGGGAGATCCAATTTTCCAGCTAATGAATGGAGTAGAAAATCAACACCAGCATAGTGCCAGGGCTTGAAAGGGAGCGCTGTGCGGTTTTGAGGAGATTCCAATCCCATCTTCCTCACTTACCAGACTAAAGCCAAATGAGTTAGCGCTAAGCCTCGGTTTCACCATCTGTAATATGGGTGTGATTCATAACTACCTTAAGAGGTGTTGCAAAGCTTGGAAGTATTGTACGCAAACGCCTGTGTCATGTTGACGCAGCTGGAGTTCCTATGATTGCTGCTGGCAACAGAAGTAACAATAACAAGGGCTGTTGTTACCGAGATGTCCTAAGCCAGCTTGGATCATTCTGTGAACCAGACAAGGGGCCTGCCCCCAGGATGGGTGCTCACTGTAACACCCACCCTCAGTGGGCGTGGCCACCCGGAGGCTGTTCCAATCAATACGCTGACATTTGCTTTCTCCTCGTGCCTCGCGCCCATGTTGACACAGGTGGCCATTACAGGATGATGAGCCGCAGCAGAAGCAGCCGGCTGGAAGGAGGCGGCAGCAGGCCGGATTTGGCACTCGAGGAGATAGCGCTTTCATCAATTGCAGGTGATTAATTTTGGGTTAGGGCTGGGTCGAGGTTATGTGCGTTATCGCTCCTGGACCCACCCTCGGAAACAGTGCAGGGTTCCCAGCTCAATAAAAAAGCTGATCAAGGCTTCACATTGATCTCAGCTGCGAGTGCCGCTGTCTGTAATCTGACTGTATGATTCGCGCTGTGTGGCTGCGGAATACAGAATACCTTCTTCTCTAGAGAGGAGGGAAAGCCTCACAAAACCGTTTGATTAAGCTCAACGATCGTTACCGAACTTGAGTAAAAGTTCTGTCTCTGAAATTCTAACTTACACCCTTTCTTCCGTCAAAGTAACCGAGGGGAAGACGAAAAGAAGAGCTGAACTGATTTGGATCCTGCCTGCCTTTCACGTGGCCACTCTTCACCTAATTTCTTCAGTTTTCTCTGAATTACAAAGAATAACAATAAAGAGTTACATCACAGTTTGTCTATATGATGGAAAGCTGTGCAGTTGTTAAAAATGGTGCTAGGATCCCTGTCATCGACCTGAAACATTAGATCACAGAATATTGAGTGAAAAAAAGCAATATACAAAATTATATGTTTAGTAGTCCATGTCTGTAAGGGGAAAAATGTGCGTGCACACGGACACTCACATGCACCCACGCGTGCACACACATGCGCACGCACACACATACACACGTGCACACATTCACACGCACACACACGTGCACACACATGCACGCATGCACGCACGCAACACACGCACACACACGCACATGCACATACATACACACTACACACACATGCACACATTCACACGCACACACATGCACACACGCACCACACGCACACACACGTGCACACACATGCACACGCGCACACACACTACACACACATGCACACATTCACATGCACACACACGTGCACATATATGCACATACATACACACTACACACACATGCACATACATACACACTACACACACGTGCACACATTCACACGCACACATGTGCACATGCACACACACACATGCACACATTCACACGCACACACATACACACTACACACACGTGCACACATTCACACACACGTGCACAGGCACGCACACACATACACACTACACACACACACACACATAAAGTAGTGAGGGATACACACAACACTGACCATCCCTAAGTCAGGGTTCCCCACTTTAGCTACAAGACAATGATGGACACTTCTGTTTCCAGCGGGGGGACATTCTTAATTTCCTTCTTTATGACTACTTATGCTACCCAGGTTTTCTTCATTAAATATATGTTGTTTGTGTAATTTTTAAAACATAAGAAATAAAAAGGGGCAGACCCAAACAGGCACTTCAGCACCCTTTGTAATGTTTTTTAAGATGGCAATATCTAAAGATCTAACAGACTGGGCTTGATGACTCACACCCGCAATCCCAACATTTTGGGAGGCTGATGTGGGTGGATCACTTGAGGTCAGGAGTTCGAGACCATCCTGGCCAACATGGTGAAACCCTGTCTTTACTAAAAATACAAAAATTAGCCAGGCAGTGTTGGCACTTGCCTGTAGTCCCATCTAATCAGAAGGCAGAGGCAGGAGAATCATTTGAACCTGGGGGGCAGAAGTTGCAGTGAGCCGAGATCACACCATTGCACTCTGGGCAACAGAACAAGACTCCATCTCAAAAAAAAAAATCTAACAGTAGAGCAAAAGTTATATTAAATATGGTATGTCATATACCGGAATATTCACTGGCCCTAAAATTTCACTCTGAAGAATCTACAATACCGTGAAGCACCTGTGACCAACAGGCAGGCTCTCTCCATAACACTCTTTTCTTCCTGTACTAGGACCGAAAGGGGAAGAACTATGTTCTCCAATGCCCATGATGGTGTGGGTCCCACAGGTGCCCTGACCTGCCGAGCAGATACCTGTGCTTCTGCGGCTGCTACCAGGTCTCAAGCAGGTGTGTCCAGGAAGCCCAGGCTGACAGCTGTGCTCCCGTCCCATGAAAGACCTTGTAAGCTGTTAAGCTTCTAAAATAAACCCTTGCTGCTTAAAAATGAAATAGATGAAGGGGAAAGTATCTCTTTATTGGTTTGCTTTCTTTCTGAAAAGCGAGGTGCTAAACTCTCTAATTATAGCATTGCCATGGCATTTTTGAAACAGAATAAAAACGCTATACAGAAAAAAGACCAGAAAAAATGCAATCAAAACGTAACAGCAATTGTCTGAGTACTGAGATTATGGGAAAACGTTTCTCCTTTTTACCATTTCTGTATTTTCCTGAATTTCTCTAATGCCAATATATCTATTTATAATTTTTAGAGACTTTCCATAAGAAGTGAGCAACTGTCACTGGATTCCCTCCATAGATGTGCAAAGAGGATTCTGTGGGCTCCTCCCTCCTGTGTGCCCCGCTGCGCACCTGCCTTGGCCGGAAGCCCTGCTCGTGCCAGCCTCTCTTCCTCTCTTCTTTCCTCTTTGCTTCCACTGTACCTGTCCTTCCTTTTCCCGTTTAGTATTGACATTCATGGACACATCTTGTTTTTCAGATAATTTCCTTCCTTCAATTCCTCCATCTGAGATTATTAAATAATAATAAATCACACTAATAGTAAATGATATTATAGAAATAATCATAATAAAAGCAGAGGCCTTTGGCCCCAGTTAAGACCCAGTTTGGTTTATTCAGCATCCTGCATCCCTGGATGAAGGAAAGTTTTGTCCTTTTCCAACTGGAGCTACTGAGTGGCGAGATCATCAGCAGAAATGACTGAAGCAACAAGCAGAGAAGCACCATCATTCCCAAGATGCAACCGGGGGTTGCTGCAGGGGCCACGCAGGCGGCTACAGCCTGCAACCGTCCAGCCACCGCGCCAGGGTGTCAGAGTACCGGCAATACCGGGACCAGGTGGGCCTGCGGAGAGAAGTGAACAGGGAGGGCTCCTCAAGGTCAGCACTCAGGTCTCCAGGGCTTCGCAGCCTCACTCAGGCCATTCGCACCTGCCTGGCCCGTGGAGCCTTTGAATTTGCCACCCCTGCTGTGGGCACGATTCTGAAGGCTTTTGTGCATCTCCAGTGCCGTGTCCGTCACATCCTGGCATGAATGCTGGCACTTCCTCCGTCCTAGTGCCCACCTCAGCCCCCACCTCATTTCCTAAACCCCACTTGGTGAGATGAGGAGGCTGAACCGTGAACCAGGAAACTCTCCCCAACCCTGAAAGGGAAGTATCATCTGCTTCTCTGAAGTGAGCCTCAGGGAAGTTCCGTGGCTTTCCCGGAGTCACATGATGAGTCTTTGGCAGACCCTGGGCCCGCAAATAGAACCTGTGCCCCCTGGGCCAGGGCCCCTTTCACCTTTCCATGTATCCGCTTCACTCTTCAGCTTCCAAAATTCCTTCCTGCTCTTTAGCCCACCTAAGTCAGCTGCACTGTTTCTCTAGCCTTTTCTCCAGGTGCCTGCAAAAGTGATTCCCTAGTTCTGGGTCCCCATGCCGACACCCAGATTCTCCAGTCCCTATCCCCAGGTGGGGCGCCACCCAGGCCAGCTGTAAGCGGTTAGAGACCCTGTTTGATCATCCCACCTCTCAGCGGCAGGTCTCCGTGGGTCTTCCGGGGTCGGAGGTCCCACAGTAGAAGGCAGGGCTGTGGACCTCTGTCGTAGCTAGAGAGTGGCAGGGAAACCCCAAGGCTTTGCACAGCCCCGGGCAGACGCTGCAGGAGGGACTCCGTGAGGACACGTGGGGTCTTGGTCCTCTCCCTCCCTGTCTTTCCCAACCCTGCAGAGCTGGCCAGCTGAGCTTTGGGGAACACATGACTGCCTGTTAGCTTAGGAAGAGCTCACTTCACTGGGAACCGGAGCAAGTAAGAAGCCTCACTCTGCTGGGCTTAGCAAAGCTCTACTTAGGGCCATGCACTAAAGAGGATTCAGTTCATTAGGGCTTCCTCTAGAGAATCAGCCAAGCTTCCACATTAATTGGAAACTCAGACCATATATGAAAGGCATTTCGAACACTCCAAAGACAATTAACATTAACACGGGGACTTTCACGTTGAAACTGCAATCTATTAAATTAGTGGTGAAAATGCGTTAATGAGTAAGTGGTACTGAAATAAATAACTAGCCATTTAAAAAATATAAACCTGGGTCCCTACACCTCACTTTTTATGCCAAAATAAAATCCAAGAAGGCCAAAATTTTAAGCATTAAAACCATGAAATCATATTGTTTTCAATTGATTTGACAAAAAATAGAGGCTTCATCTGTGTGTGTGCCAGGACTGTAGTAGCACACGGCTTACTTATTTATTTTTTTTTTTTTTTGAGACGGAGTTTCGCTCGTTACCCAGGCTGGAGTGCAATGGCGCGATCTCGGCTCACCGCAACCTCCGTCTCCTGGGTTCAGGCAGTTCTCCTGCCTCAGCCTCCTGAGTAGCTGGGATTACAGGCACGCGCCACCATGCCCAGCTAATTTTTTGTATTTTTAGTAGAGACGGGTTTTTCACCATGTTGACCAGGATGGTCTCGATCTCTTGACCTCGTGATCCACCCACCTTGGCCTCCCAAAGTGCTGGGATTACAGGCGTGAGCCACTGCACCGGCTAACAACTGCAGTACAAAAGACCTTTCTAAGGAAGAGATTTCACGTAAATCCAGAAGCCACAAAAGAAAACCAAGGGATTTGAGTCTGTGAATCTGCAAAACTCTTGCAGGATAAAAATACCACAAAATCAAAATACGAATAACAAACCTGAAAAAATAGTTCACACAAAATAAAATGAATAAAGGCCTGATTTACGAAGGACACATGAAATATCAACAGGAAGAAAAAGCCATTATCAACCCAATAGGAAGCTGGACTAAGAATAGAAGTAAACAGTTCACAGAAAAGCAGCCAATAAGCCCATGAAAACGTGTTCAACTTTCTTTGTAATTTAAACACGCAGAGCGAAACAGAATGGTATTATTTTACACATCGCAGTTTTCCAAGACTGCACAGGTTTTTAGCAGCCCAGGCTGCTGATCTGAGGGGAAACAGGCCCCTTCGTGTAGTGCGTGGAGGGGCCTCTGCTCCAAATGGCACCTTAGCAACTGGTCTCTCCAGCATCTAAACGAACCAAACAGTCTCAAAAAAACCCCATTCAGGATTTCTCTAAGGATACAATCGAAAGAACATAAAAGTTCTAAAAGCAAGATGCGGCCAGGCGTGGGGGCTCAAGCCTGTAATCCCAGCACTTTGTGAGGCCGAGGCAGGTGGATCACAAGGTCAAGAGATCGAGACCATCCTGGTCAACATGGTGAAATCCCGTCTCTACTAAAAAATATACAAAAAATTAGCTGGGCATGGTGGCACGTGCCTGTAATCCCAGCTACTCAGGAGGCTGAGGCAGGAGAATTGCCTGAACCCAGGAGGCGGAGGTTGTGGTGAGCCGAGATCGCGCCATTGCACTCCAGCCTGGGTAACAAGAGCGAAACTCCGTCTCAAATAAATAAATAAATAAATGAAAATAAAAGCAAGATGCTTATGATAGAATTTAGAAACAGCAACAGCAGCCACAAAAATGGAACGAACCAAATTTTTATCATTAGAGAACTGGCAGATGAACTACCTGCAACCTCTGCAGAGTGGGGCACTAGCAGCTGTTACAGCAACGGCAGAGGCCTTTCAGTGTGATGATGCCGAGATTCATGAGCTCTATTAATAAGTGAAAAAAAGCAAGGTGCAGCTTAGTGTGGACACTGGGATTCCACGTGTGTTTAAAAATATCTGCAGTCTGTGTGCACATTGCTTTCTGATTTCTAAGAATATTAACCACAGTTGACCTTGAGGAGGCTGCTGACAAGAGGGAAAAGGGTTATTTTTCTTTTTTTCATTTTTTTCGAGACAAAGTCTCACTCTGTTGCCCAGGCTGGAGTGCAGTGGCGCAATCTCAGCTCACTGAAATCTCCACCTCCTGGGTTCAAGGGATTCTCCTGCCTCAGTCTCCCAGGTAGCTGGGACTACAGGTGCATGCCACCTAAAGAAAATAAATAGTAAATTTAAAAAGAAAAATGTTATGAATGGCTTCTGGGTAGTGGGTAGTGGCCCCAAATGCAGCCTCAGTTTTTCAACAAGCACTCAGGGGCATCCATTGTGTGCCAGGCACAGAGCTGAAGGCTAGAGACATAAAGTAGGGAAAGCAATCTCTGACTGAATCAGTTAGTTTGGTGCAAAAGTCATTTGCCATTATTCTTAATAGCAAAAACCACAATGACTTTTGCAAAAAAAAAACTAACTGTCCCAAAGTACCGTGAAGACACAGAAAAAAACAAAACAAAAAAAAAAGCAGCAACAGAAAGTCTTGGCCTCTAGACAGATGCACCCTCTGGGCCAGATCCTGCACAAAGTCTCTGCTGCCCACAGGGCCCATGGTTTATAGTCAGGAACACCACCTACGCTTCCACGAGTGAAATCTGTCCACCTGCAGGCCCGTCCTTTCTCCCCCCGCCACCCCACACTGACTCTGCTCAGAAACCCTGGGGGTGGACTCACCGGAGTCCTGGACAACCGTCTTCGGCTGCCTTCTACATGACTAGAGCGTGGATATTCTGCATCACCCATCCCCATCTCTCTGAGTAGCCTGGAGTGACCTGAGGCTTGGAATAGCACAGATCCAGGATTAATCACATTGTTGTGGCCGTGAGTAAGTTATTCTATTTCTCCATGCCTTGGTTTTCTCATTTTCAAAATGAAGCTAAGAATGCTCACTGCAGACGGATTTGTGAGGATTCACTGTTGATGTGCCTATAAATGCAGTGAGCCAAGAAGCTGCAGCTATTCTTACAGGATTTCCTCTATTGTGAGATACCTTCTGAGGTTCACCAATGATTTATTAACAGCCTTGAGCGGATAATACATTGATTACAAAACAAAGCCTAATTTCAGAAATATTAAGATCTGAAAAGCTGTGCCATCTGGAACTTAGGAAACATGACGCTGTTTCTAGATCTAACTGGAGATTATAACGTCCAGATCTACCAGGCAGGCAATTTCAAAATGTGGGACAGAGGGAGAAAAGGTCGGGAAGAAGGAAGCCTGTGGTGGTACAGGGTTCCCTGGGTAGTGTAGGGCTGTCACCATAAACAATGTGGAAGGAGACAGTGGCAGCGTGTGCCGGAAACGGAGGGTTTTTGTGCATCAATCTACCCCCAGATGAACGTCGGAGAAAAGGGCCTCTCCATAACCCAAGGAACAGTGAACAGAGACAAGAAACAGTCACACAACCTTTCTATTCAGCAAATACTGAACATGGGCAACTGTCCTTATTCAAGGAAGGATAAAGGGGACAACGCTAACATGGCGCCTATGAGGGGATGCCACAAAAAGAAAAGCAGGCGTCATAATAAAATTTCTCTTTTGTTGTTGTTAGACTAGCGTGGACTGAAAAAAGCAACGTTAACAGAGTATCTTTCAAAAAAGACTGAAGACTAACAAACACAAGTCCGTGCACATGTTTTAAACTAGTGTAATTTTTCTACATTGAATAAACGTTATTTTGCATACCGGACACTGCAGAACTGTTTATTTCCATCTCGTCATGCAAACACGCCAATTTTGTCCCCGAGAAGCCTTTATTACGTTACCTTCACTTTGACCATCCTACCAAATTAAGGGGGAAAAACAAAACACAAAAATAAGAAACCCCAGTAAAAGATCCCTCAGATTTCATAAATTACAAAGTAAAGCTGCCAGTTAAGAAAGAAATGGAAGAATTTTCAGAATTGTATCATACGAAAATTCCTGTCATTTCGGCAGATGTTTTCCTTACCGATGACAAATCTTACAACACAACGTGAAGTCACGCTACTCAGATATTCGTAGCAAAACCGTCTTTTGTACAAAAACAAAAGCAAGGGACCGTGAAGAAAACAGTGTATGTTCCTCACGCCCTGTGAGCACGCAAATCTTTTAGCAATTTACAAGGGTAACTGTGAGAGCCTGACATTCCTCTGTACCCCACGTATTCTGCCTCTCTATTTGTAGGATTTGTACATGGAAGTAACATCTCACGAGCAGAGGTCTCATCTCTCTCCCGCTCTCTGCAACTAATCCTAATTATTTTCTCTCATTTTCCTGAGCACACTCCCGGAACAGCATTGCAAGTGGGTTGTAAAAACAGAAGAGGAAAAAAGAAAGGAAGCTTTACAAGGGTGTTGTTGGTTAATTGCCAGTGGGGTCAGTCCACCAGCAGTTTGGTTTCGTTGGTAGCAGCTGGTTCGTGTTGAACAGGCCCCTGGGAGCTTAATGAGCAGCTCTCGCTGCATGCTTTCAGGGTGGCTGGCAACAGAGCTGGGACTTGCACTTACATTGTCAACAGCAGTGCTGGCTGGGAGACCCAGCCCCGGCTCATCATTCTCACTGGCCGTGAACACCACGGACAGCAGGGACATACACGGGTGAGCCAGCCTGAGGGTAGGAGGAGGCGGCATAGTCTGCTATGATACCCGGCCACATCCACATTACAAGCCTTATCCGTGGTGATGAAACCTACACTCGCACTGGCCTCACAATGCAGAAGGAGCCATCATCTTTCATCAATAGGTCAACGCCACACACATCCATCCCCTGGCGTTAGACACCTGCCTAGCTGGCTGCTTCCCTTTCCACTCGGAAAGCACGTCATCCGCACACACTTACTGAGCACTGGCTCTGCAGTCTCTCATCTGCTGAACAACGTAACATGGTGCCAACCTCACGCCCCCTGCCCGTCCATGAGACTCCTCAATGCATGTCCGGAACACGTATGGCGCTTCATGGCGAATAATATGGCTTAGATCAGCTACTCAGGAGGCTGAGGCAGGAGGATCGCCTGAGCCCAGGAGTTCCAGGCTACAGCGAGCTGTGATCGCGCCACTGCACTCCAGCCAGAGTGACACAGCAACACCCCGTTTCTTTTTCTTTTCTTTTTTTTTTTTTGAGATGTCTCTTTAAACAAAAGATAAAAAGGTAACCCACAGAATGAAAGATAGCTGTAATACATATATACAACAAAAAAACCTTTATCCAGAATATATAAATATCTCCTACAGATTAATAAGAAAAAGACAGCACAGTAGAAAAATTGACAAAACATTTGAAGAGGCGCTTCACCCGAGGGCATATACAAATGGCCAAGAAACACTTGAACCCTCATCAGGGAAATGCAAAGTAAAACCCTAACGCAGTTCCACAACACAGTCACGAGAACACACCGGAAATCACCAAGCGTGGTTGAGGACGTGAAGCAGCCGAAAAGCACAATTCCTGAGGGTGGTGTACGTTGATAGAAATCTCTTTAGAAAACTGTTTGACACAATATGCCAAATCTGAAAATATACTTATCCTATAACTAGCAATTTTATTCCTCGGTAAAAATAATACAAATCCATTTACATTTCACCAAAAGATAAGTATAGACTGTCCACGGTAGCACTAAAAACGTAGACACCGCTGAATGGCCATCAGCAGAGGGATGAGGAACCCGCGGTGAACCCACGCGATGGAAAGCATCCGGCAGTGAGAGTGAACCGCAGCCACACGCAGAAACAAACGACGCAGCACTCGGTGACAGAAGCCAGACAGAGGTCCCACCACTTGCATGTTTTAGACTTTCCTAAGCACACAGCTGGCTAAAGAGGAAACTAGAGTTGCAGTTATTTTTGGCAATAAATATACAAGTCAGTTAATATACCAAATATATAAAGAGGTCTTTCAAATAATATAGCTTGAATTTTAAAATCCGCAAAGAGCAAAGATGAACAAAATTACAAGAACAATAGTAATATATAACAAACATGGAGGAAACACCCTGATGAGGTATCATAAAAGGCAAAAGAAGATAAGACAAAATTGTTATTTGCGTTTCTATTTATTTATTTTTGAGACAGAGTCTCCCTCTGTTGCACATGCTGGAGTGCAGTAGTGAGATCTCAGCTCCCTGCAACCTCTGCCTCCCAGGTTCAAGCAATTCTCCTGTCTCAGCCTCCCAAGTCACTGGGACTATAGGCGCATGCCATCACACCTGGCTTTTTTTTTTTTTTTTTTTGTATTTGTAGTAGAGACAGGGTTTCACCATGTTGGTCAGGCTGATTTCGAACTTCTGACCTCAGGTGATCCAACTGCCTTGGCCTCCCAAAGTGCTGGGATTACAGGCGTGAGCCACCACACCCCACCAGTTATTCACCTTTAAATCACAAAAGTTTTGTGATTGGTGAAGGTGCAGTAAATCTACACTTTACTAAGCTCTTTGTAGAAATATAAACAAATATGGACCTGCTGGGTTTCACGTGCATCAAGAACGATAAAGGTATTTAAGAACCTTGTAGGGACTTACAGGAAAAACACCATCAGAGTTTATCCCAGAAAACACAGATTCAGTTTGAAGATGTTCATCGTAGCTTTCTGTGTAACCCTAAACAAGATTTGGGTGGGAAAATGTACAATTCAAGGCCATTTCTCTGATAACGATTTCCTTCCTTCTGTGGCCTTGCAGCTGTGGAGCTCAGTGGCTTTCTGCTACTTACCTCGGTGAGTCAGAGCCTTGCGTTTAGGACTGCAGATGTGCAACAGCCAAGCTTTGGCCAAGATTCAGATTAGAGATAACAAGTGGAAGTCGCTAATACAGGTTACATACAAATGTGTGACTGGCCGGGCGCGGTGGCTCACACCTGTAATCCCAGCACTTTGGGAGGCTGAGGTGGGTGGATCACCTGAGGTCGGGAGTTCAAGACCAGCCTGACCAACATGGAGAAACCTCGTTTCTACAAAAAAATTAATTAATTAAAATTAAAATTTAGAAAATAAATAACTAAAAAATTAAAAAGAGGAAAAAATGTATGGCTTACCATGCTCCCATCCCTTTCTTTCCTTTCACGATGGTCTTGGCACATTCAATTGTCTTCTTTAAATTAGGGTTCAGTAAAGCTGTGGAGAAAATAAAATTGAAGAGAACATGCCTGCAGGTGACGGTGAAGCTAGACTATGTAGGGAAGGCACAGGGTGTGCACGTCAGAGAGGCTTCCGGTGAATTCCAAGGATAAATCTCTCCTTAGATTTTTAATTAGACAACTCTAAGGAGGATGTAGCAGGTTGTGGTCCAGATCCACTGATTGTTTTTACCTTGTAATTCTTATAAATGCTTTTTCATTGAAATGTATATGTATGTATCTTTTCCATGATGGAAAATATGTACTCCAGATCCATTGATTTTTTAACTTATAATTCTTATAAAATTTTTTCATTAAAATATATATGTATGTTGACTCTTCTGCCCTAGGCAACATAAGCAGCAATGGAGAGAGAATGAAAAACACGATAAACTCGTCCCTGCCCACATGGCGCCTCCAAGCGGGTGAAGTCATAGGCAGTTAAATGAATAGGGGTACCTGCAATGATGGGGGGATGCCGCTTGGTGAAGGAGCATTTACTAGGGGCACCTGATTCAGACTTGAAGGGTCAGGGAAGAGCTATGCAGCAAGTGACTTCTACAAGAGCAGGTGAAGAAAGGGGATGGGGGGAGTCACAAGAGGAAGATCGTTCCGGGCACAGGGAACAGCATGTGAGGTGGCCCAGCGGAGCACTGAGGAACCGACGTGTCTGCATTCGCCATTCCACTCCGTCCTTGGAAGGTGGAATCCAAGCCCTCTCACTTGGGACAACTGCAAGACCCACCCTGCCGACATTGGTCTCAGCTTTCCTTAATCTAGTCTCATCGCTTTTCCTTAAAACATCACTTCACTGCCCCAATTGCTCATAAAACAGACCCCCAGATCCCTGGCTACATTCAGTAGTGCCCTGACGTGCCTTTCTGCTTCTAAACCTCACTTCCCATAGCCTTCCTCTTCCACCCTGACATTCCACGCATGTCAAGGGCAGGAGACAAAGACAGTGTCCACCCTGAAGGTGGGTCTCCCTCCGAGACCCACAGCTGAGGGATCATAGAGGACGGAGCCCTAAGGGGCCTGCTCACAGCTCTCAAGGCTATAGCCCTCCAAGTAATCCGGGCCTCTATCGCAGAGCTTCTTGGCCACTGTGCAGCCCCCAGGATGTAAGCACCACGTGGAACCACCAGGCAGCCAAGGAAGGAGAGAACCAGGCCTGCCTTCATCCTGGCAGCTGGGGCAGCCGTGGCCAGGGAGTGGGCGGAGTCACAGGGACACTGGTCCTCAGAAGGCAAAGAAGGGCACTGTGGGGTGCGGGGGAGCACAGCTCAGCATCTCGCCTGGTAAACCAGGACACTTCTTCCCATCCTAATCCTTGGCTTCATGTCACTGCAAATCTGGGACACCTGAGACTCCGCCCCTTCGCCGCCTCACCCATCAGTGTGGAGGGAGGTTTGCTCATCAGGGAGGATTTGGTTCTGAGGCAGAAAGTCCCAGCTGAGCATCCTCTGAGTTTAGCCCAAACTCAGGAGCCGCACTGCTTAGGTTTCCCTTCCAGCACTACCACCCCCAGCTGTGTGGTCTTGGGCATATACTTACCCTCTCTGGGCCTCATTTTTTCCATTTATAGAATGCGGATAACAGTACCCACCTCATGGGTATTTAATTAGATTGATTAGATGAATTCATTAGATGAATACCTACAAAGGGCTTAAAAGAGTACCTGGCAGTTAACAAGCACTAGAGTGGCAACTGTGTAAGCACCCACTAAGTGGCACTTAGTGGGTGCTCGGTCAATGCTCGCAGAATGAGTGAATCCTGGCAACCACCTCTCCTTGGTTACACGTACTTGGGACCACCTAAGAGCAGTGGGCAAGCTCCCCTTGGGATGCCCAGCTCCTGTATCCTCACAGTAACCAGTTCTGCCTTTCACAGTGGCAGCAGCTGCCCCTCCACAAAGGGAGTGGTGGCCACGTGGGTGAAATCAGGCCAGCTGGAGCCCTCTGCTCCCACACTGCAGCCTCCTCTCCACGCCCTGACACCTTCTCTGTCCATCTGGACAGGGGTCTCTATCACACCATCTTAGGTCAGCCTGCCTGGCGCACCACAGCCTGATCTCACTGTGTCCCCAGGAGTGGAATGCTCAGCTTCCCGGGGACCCACCCTGGATATGGCTCCTGCCACGTCCTCTCCTCTGTAAATTTTGTAAACTCTGGAGGTCTTTGGGAAGGCAGGCCTCGGACACAGCACCACAGCCTCCAGTGGCCTCGAATGGAATGAAAAGAAGGACTTACCAGAACATGACATGTGGCAGCGGTTCCTGCCACGGTCGCCACACCAGTCACTGCCACGAATCTGAAAGAGGCCGAAGCCAGTGTAGCCATCACGTGTGTTCTCGTAGACGGCCGTGGGGTTGAACTTGCTCTCGAAGTAGGCCAGGCACACCCCTAAGGGGGAACAGAAGGTGTGCGGCTCTGAGGACAGCTGGAGTCGGGGAGGCCTGGCCAGGGAAGGGAGGGCAAGAAGGGGTGAGGAGGGAGCCCTAAGGGGTCTGCTCACAGTTCTCAAGGCTATAGCCCTCGAAGTAATCCAGGCCTCCATCGCGGAGCTTCTTGGCCACTGTGCAGCGCCCCAGGATGTAAGCCCCAGTTGGAACCACCAGGCAGCCAAGGAGGGAGAGAACCAGGCCTGCCTTCATCTTCTCCAGCCTCCTGGGAGCTGGGGCAGCTGTGGCCAGGTGAGTGGGCAGAGTCACAGGGACAATGGTCCTCCAAAGGGAAAGAAGGGCACTGTGGGATGCGGGGGGAGCACAGCTCAGCGTCTCACCTGGCAAACCAGGACACTTCTTCCCATCCTAATCCTCAGCTTCATGCCACTGCAAATCTGGGACACCTGAGACTCCGCCCCTTCGTCTCCTCTTGACCTATTTTCAAAGGAAACTACACTCTTTTTTTTTTTTTTTTTTTTTTGAGACTAGAGTTTCGCTCTTGTTACCCAGGCTGGAGTCTGGAGTGCAATGGCGAGATCTCGGCTCACCGCAACCTCCGCCTCCTGGGTTCAGGCAATTCTCCTGCCTCAGCCTCCTCAGTAGCTGGGATTACAGGCACACGCCACCATGCCCAGCTAATTTTTTGTATTTTTAGTAGAGACGGGGTTTCACCACGTTGACCAGGATGGTCTTGATCTCTTGACCTGGTGATCCACCTGCCTCGGCCTCCCAAAGTGCTGGGATTACAGGCGTGAGCCACCGCACCCGGCCTTCCTTGTCTTTAAAAGCGGGGTCACTGCGGAGAGAGCATCAGAGAATGGACTCTTGAATTTAGGTTTCTCCATTCCACGTCAGGTGGCTGCCACGCCATAAACCCACCGCCTCCTCACTGCAAACTGACTCACAGCCCAGCCTTCTGCCCTCCAACCCTCCCTGCCAACCCATGCAGGTGGTATTTTCCACCATGACTGAGGAATGTCCCCAAAGCAGGCACAAGATGTCACTTGGAGAACACTGCCAGTCCCCTGGTCTCACGGCAGCAAGCCCTCCATGATCTGGCTTATCCTACCCACCCTTTATTGGGACAAATCTATTCCGTCAAGATGGCACTCCCTCTCTGGGTGCCTCGCACCTCCCACTCCATTCCCCTGGCACCCGTGCTCCTGCTAGGTCCACTTGGTGCCCTCACACATGGTTCTTCCCAATGCACAGGGCCCTACCATGCCTTTCCTCATTCAAATGTCGCTCCATCTTGAGGCCTCACCCAGGTGCCAACCTCATGCATCCTGATGGATCCTCCATGAAAGTTCCATTTTCCCTGAGCCCTTATTGATCTCAGAGCCTCTTTCATGACACCCTGCAGGTGACTGTCCTGTTTTGTGCTCTGTCCCTTTGTCAGACTAGAATGTACAGCTGGAAATTGGAACTCATCCTCCTCCTGGAAAACCCCATGACCCCAGCACTCCATCGTTATCTATCAGCTGGACAGTTCATTGCACCCTCCTGCTTGCCACCTGCCTGTCCTGGCTGTATACACCTACCCCAGGGGTTCTCAGCCTTGGCACTTGGGCTGGAATATGCTTTGTTCTGGGAATATCCTGTGCATTGGAATTGTTTAGGAGCACCCCTGGCCTCTGGATGTCAGTAGCTCTGCCCCAATTTATGTCAGACAAAAATGTTCCTGAGGGACAAAACTGGCCCCTGTTGAGAAATGTCTAACTTGGGCAAAAGTTAGAAATAAGCATATTCATGAATTAGAAGAATCACACTTTCAAACGCTGGTTCAAACTCTCATGCTGTGTGGTCAGTTGCAGCATCTAGGAGGACCCTGCATTTGAGAGCTCAGACTCGGAAATCAGATTGCTGGGTCCAAGTCCCAGCCTCCCCCTCAGCGGCTGAGAGAGACATGAGCATCCCAGCAGCGATCTCAGACAAATTCCTCCACCTCTCGATTCCTCGGTTTCTTCCTGTATAGCACAGATTAGAACAGTGCTTAATCAATTGCGTTGATTTGAAGAGTAAGTGAATTACGTGTGCACGGCACAAGATTTTATCCCTAAGGATGTTTTGCTGAGCTCTGGTGGCGCCCCTTTCCTTAGCTGAAGAAGTGAATCTCAATGCATCTTTCCTTTCCCAAAGAGCAAACAACATCTTCCACTAATGTGTGTCTTCCAAAGGGCAGGCCTCATCTCAGCTCGAGGAAGGCATGCCGAGTCCTCCCCTCCCCTCTCCCCCAGGGCGTGCCAGCTACAGTTCTTCCACAACCCACTCACCTCCCACCCGCTTTTCTGCCATCACCCTAATCCAGACCACGCCATCTCTGAGGTGGAGGTTTTCTAACTACCCTCCGTCACACTCCTCCCTGTTCTCCTAAACCCGCTGTCCACACAGCAGCTGGAAACGCAGTTTATAAAGCAGGTGTCCGGTCACATCATGCACCTCCAGTGGATTCATTCCCCTTGCACTCTGAGCAAGACCCCAGCTCCTCAGCCTGGCTGAGCCCCTCTCCTGTCTGAATGCACGTCGCTCTCTCCTTGGCCCCCCTTCACTCTGCCACAGTCGCCTTGCATGTTTCTCTTCCTTGAATATGCCACCTTCATTCCCACCACAGCCCCTTGTGGAATGGCACCAGCCTTTCCCCTACCTGGTCACCACACATGAGCTCGCCGCCTCAGAGAAAATTCCTTCATCACTGCCCCATCAAAGAAGATGGATTTTATTTTCCTCACACATCAGTCAATACCGGGAACTGCACTGTTCCTTGGTCCACCGGCTTATTTTCTCTCCCATACCTGAGTGTAAGCACCGGGAGTGTGTTTATTCTCTTCTCTATTCCCAGAACTTAACAGACCTAACGCATAGCAGGTGCTTAATGAACCTTTGTTGAATGAATGAATGAACAAAAACCTACTCTTCCCAATTGAACTGTCACCAAATGAGCAACAAGTGAACTTGCTGATGAGCATCTCCTGCAGCTGGGAATTGTCATGCCCATTACGCTCCTGCCCACCATTTACCCGCCTACCAGTCCAAGGCTGGCTCTCGGTGCCTTTCCGAGGGGAGGGTAGGCGCAGCCGCTGCAGCAGCTCCGACGTGTGTTACGGGGACGGTGCTCCACCTACACTTGGTTCCCCGGATTTTTCCACTTCATTCATCATCCATATGTCTGCACCCAAGAGTTCTTCTCTGTGACCTGCTCTTCTAGAACCCTCTCTATGACGTCAGTGGCTATGCACCAGGACAGTCTGCAAACGGAGGGTCTGTCGCCGTCACATTTATATGAGTTTTCCGTTGCTGCTGAATATGTTACCACAAATTTAGTGGCTTAAACAACACAATTTATTCTCTTAAAGTTATTTAGCCCTGAAGTCGGAAATGGGCTAAACTTAAGGTGTCAGCAGGGCCGTGCTCCCTTCTGAAGGCTTTAGAAGATGATTTCTTCCCTTGCTCATTCAAGTTGTTGGCAGAATAGTTTCTGCAGTCCCAGGGCCGAGTTCCCTGTCTCCTTGCTGGCTGTCGGCCCAGGGCCATTCCCAGCTGTCTGCATTTCTCAGCTCTGTCTCCTTGGGGCTAAGGAGAGCAATGATACATTCCTCCATCTTCGAAGCCAGCAAGGGTGAGTCAGACCCTCTCACACTTTGAATTTCTCTTGCCTCTTCTTCTGCCTTTGTATCTTTCTGGCCCACTTTTCTTCTCCCCCTTCCATGTCTAAGGACTCAGGATTACATCCGTCCAGTCGGACAGTCCAGGATCATCTCTGCTTCTGGAAGTCCTTGGCCCTCATCACACCTGCAGACTCTCTTTCCACAAACACTAACATATCAGAGGCTCCTGAGGCTACCGTTACCGAACAAAAGGAATTCAACGCATTAGAAACCAATACTATGACACCAGGTTTTTGAGAAAAGGCTTTTTATTGAAATACAAATATTTAATTTTAAATATATTATCAATATGTTGTCAATTTCTAAGGAGACAGCAGTATCAAGCTTGAACCTGTCTCCCTGTGAGGGCTTTAATGCGGGATTTTTATTAGGAAAAGTTCAGGGGGTGGATTCTAAGAGTAGCATGTGACTGGGGGAAGCAAAGGGAAGGGCTGGGAAGTTCTTTGTCAGGTGCAGGTACCTCTTCATGCTATTTTGTGGGTCGCCCATGCGGTCTCGGGGGCAGTGGAAACTCAGGCTGTGGCTTCCACAGGCTGGCTTTGTCTGGACGCCCGTCGGCCGTCTTGGCGGCAGCTGGCTTCAGCCAGTTCTCTCTTGTGAGCAGAGGGAGCTTCGGTATCTCAGCAACTTGTTTCTTTTCTTATCCGCCATCCTGCAAACTCAAGAATTTCTGTTAGTCATCGGTTTCTTTAAGTCTGTGGGGCATGATTTTGTCAGGACGCCTTTGGGAGACCAGTATTCTGCCTGGCACAGCACTCTTCTGGGCCCCACTGCCTTGTAGGTGGAGCCTTTATTCAGCTTTTCTAGTCACCACAGGGCCACGGTCAAGGACATCTTCTCTTGCAGCCTGGGCAACTTGATCTGTGACTTGAGGGCATCAGAATGGGTTAGCGTTAGGATCTTCTTCAGCTCCAAAAGTTAAGAGACATTGAGATGATTGAGGGCAAATTGGCCTTTTGAAAACACAGTAGTCTTCCCAGCTGGCTCAATTAGGACTGGTAATTAGTTGATTAATTGAAAATTAATAATGTGGAGAATCATAAAAGAAAAAAATAAAACCAGACCACAAACACTGAGGCTTAAATCCACGCGTGGATCTTTTCTCAGCCGTGTTCATGCTGGCTCAGCAGGAGACTGGCTGGCAGAGAACCAAGGTGTTTTCACAGAAATCAGTTAATCGAGAAGCGTTCATCTGCAGAAACCCCCACCTCTGAAGGCATCATAGCAGAAATGTGCCCCTCACCCACAGTGGTAGACAGTTTGAGAAGACAGGGGGGTCCCCATTCTACAGCCTTCCCTGTGCCCATGCCCCTTGGCTTTGTAACTTAGCTGCTCCCATCAAGGCCTGAGAGCCACTCCCTACCCCGGGGGTTGGGTCCGCCGGTCTTGCTCAGACAGTAGATCACAGTGGAACCAGGTGGTGCTGATCCTAGGCCTCAGGAAGCCTGGTGGCCTCTGCTCACCTTGAGCTCTGCCACACCACACAAACATGCCCGCCTCATCTTGCAAGAGATGAGTGGCACCTGTCACCCCTACTGCCACAGTGGATGGGAATGAACCGCCACACATGCAAGACCAGCCTAGGCTGGCCAGCCCCCCGCTGACCACAGATATGTGAACGATGACAAGCAAGGTCAGTCAGGTCCAGTTGGGATAAGCAGTGTCCAGCTCACCCGCAGCCTGGTGAGCAACGATGGGTATTTCTTGCTTTTAGCTGCTGTTGTAAGTCTGCAGTGAGGAGATGACGGACACAGCAACTGATGACGGACACGTCCCCGCAGCTCTGCGCTCCTGCCTTGGCCTGCAGCTCCAGGCAGCCACCGTCTGGGCCCTGAGCACACAGGCCATCTGCTCTGGAGCCCGGTGACGAGCACCAGCTGCCATGCTGCAATCACATGGCTTCCAGCCAAGCTCGTATTCCCAGAGGGAAGGGAATTGCCCTGCTTTCCTGACAGGACATTTACCTTTCCCAGAAAAACTGACGTCGGAGCTCTCGTGGTGCAGGGGCCTCCTCAGGCAAAAGCCCCCAGAGTTTGCTGCCCTGTCATTTGCCCTGTTGAGCACTGGGCGTGACTGGGTGGAATAGGCTTTGAGTGACCAGTGGGGTTCAGTGACCGGCTGTATACTCGGAGCAAACTGGGCAGAACCCTCTGGTTCTTAGAGCCGTGGCTGAAGATACCGGCCACATCCAAGCCCCTGGAAACCCTTCTTAGACCCTAAAAAGTGTGCTAGAAACTGTGACGAGTGTTGGGCATGTCAAAGTGAGCTCCCAGCACGGTGGGGAACTTGGGCAGGTTAAAAAATCAGCAGCAGCAGCCCTGTAAGAAACACCCTAACAGAAGTCCATTCACGGTTCTGTGGGGGCAGAGAAGAGAGTCCCGCCTGCCTAGGGTGCAGCAGGCAGTGCCGAAGAACGGTGTAGAGGGGCAGGGGCAGCAGCCGGGCAGGGTGGAGGGGGCAGGGGCAGCAGCCGGGCAGGGTGGAGAGGGCAGGGGCAGCAGCCAGGCAGGGTGGAGGGGGCAGGGGCAGCAGCCAGGCAGGGTGGAGAGGGCAGGGGCAGCAGCCAGGCAGGGTGGGGTGTGCTCCAGGGGCAGCAGCTGGGCAGGGTGGGGTGTGCTCCAGGGGCAGCAGCCAGGCAGGGTGGAGGGAGCAGGGGCAGCAGCCAGGCAGGGTGGAGAGCGCAGGGGCAGCAGCCAGGCAGGGTGGAGGGGGGGCAGGGGCAGCAGCCAGGCAGGGTGGAGGGGGCAGGGGCAGCAGCCAGGCAGGGTGGAGGGGGCAGGGGCAGCAGCCAGGCAGGGTGGAGGGGGCAGGGGCAGCAGCCAGGCAGGGTGGGGTGTGCTCCAGGGGCAGCAGCCAGGCAGGGTGGAGGGGGCAGGGGCAGCAGCCGGGCAGGGTGGAGGGGGCAGGGGCAGCAGCCGGGCAGGGTGGAGGGGGCAGGGGCAGCAGCCGGGCAGGGTGGGGTGTGCTCAAGGCACCCCGCCCCGCTTTGGCTGCATCTGCCCCCTGCTCGCCAGCACCCCCAGCCTCCAGTGCCTTTGGAGACACTGAAAACTTCACCCCCTCGAGAAGAGAGAGCAGAGGCTGGCATTTGTTGAGTCTTGCTAACATGTCAGGCGAGGGCTGAGGGAACCATAGGAATTAGGCCGTCTAATCCTCACAATCCTCCCAACGGCTAACTACTATGATGGCTGAACACACTTTTCCTGAGGAAACAGCAAAGGCTTAGGAATGGCTTATCCAATCAGGGCAGGTGGTGGGCCAGGGCTCCTCCAGAAGCCGCACTCTCAGCCCTGCTCTCAGGAGCCGCCACGCCGCTCCCCGTGACACTCTGCACACGCTGCGTCTTCCCCTCTCTGTTCTTTGCTCAACAAATTTATCCTGAACGTTCCCTGCACCTGTCGATCAGGTATGTTCATCGTTTCTGAGATGGTCTCGGGCGCCGCCACCTCCCTCCACCCTCCGTGCCTCAGTGTCTCAGATCTCTCTCTCATGCCTGTGTCCCTGAACTGCCGCAGCACAGAAATTCCCTCTTCAGGAATATTGAAACCGCTGTTAGATCCACAAATTGAGTTCTCTGTGTCGTTAATTTGTGGGGTGTTTTGTTTTGGGGGGATTGTTTTGTTTTTGAGACAGGGTCTCACTCTGTCACCCAGGCTGGAGTGTGCAGTGGTGCAATCTTGGCTCAATGCAACCTCTGCCTCCTGAGCTCAAGTGATCCTCCCACCCCCACCTCCCGAGTAGCTGGAACTACAGGTGCGTACCACCATGCCTGGCTAATTTTTGTATTTTGTGTAGTGACAGGGTTTTGCCATGTTGCCCAGGCTGGTCTCAAACTCCTGGGCTCAAGCGATCCACCCACTCAGCCTCCCAAAATGCTGACATGCCATGAGCCACCACGCCCAGCCTTTGTTTCATTAATTTGGTTGTTCATTTTCATACGTTCCATTTAGCTCTCTTTCCAATCTCCTTTTTCTTTACTCTGGTTTTCAACCTTGCTTTATGTTCTAGAAACCACAGTAAATATGCATCTTTTCTCCTGCAACTCATTGTTCTAACATCTGAGGTCTGCCATGGGGATGGTCTTATGGTCCATTGGTTCAGGCTAGCTGGTGGTAAAGACTTCTTAGAAGAAACAAAAATTCTTTCTCTGCTGTCACTCGGTGCCCAGGTTGAAGACAAGCAATGGTCTTCGCAGTCCTCAGGGCAGGCATCAGCTCGCCTTGCGTGAGTGTAGAGCACTTTGGAGCTCCAGACTTACAGGGGGTCCCCAGCTGGGCTCCACCCCTTCTCCCCAAAGCTTCACAAGGCTGTGCCTTCAAGGCAAGAGCCAGCTGCCACATTCCACTTAAGCCTCTCTGGATTCCACCGTCACTGAATTTTAGGCTGGACTGTTTTGCTTTTGGTTTTTTCTCATTACATCATTTTCAGTTTTGTTCCATAGAAGGTCCATAGTATGACCCAGCCTCCCATACTATGAGACACAGATGTAGCATCTTACTACCCTGCATGAA